AAAAAGAATACTCTTTCTAGTCCAGTTTAGCTCATGAGGCTCACGTTGTCGCTTTAAATCAGGATTGTCAGGATGTTTTCCAGGCCTAGCTTTATAAACACGATCTAATTGTCGCAATATGTCATCCCCAGAAAATAATCTGGGAGGAGGACGATCTTCAACTAAACCGTTAAAATATTTACTCCTTCTCCACTCATGATCCTCAGGCAAATTTCGTCGAGCTCCCATAAAACATAATTTTCCTCTCAAGCCCTCTGAAGTTACATCTTCGTTACAAACAGGACAAGCTTTGTACCCTTTTGTGCTCTACCCAGATAAATTTCCGTAAGCAGGAAAATCATTTATAGTCCACAATACACATGCCCGCAAATTAAAATTTCTCCCAACAGAGGCATCAAAAGTTTCAACTCCAATATCCCACAATTCTTTTAATTCGTCTATTAATGGACGAAGATACACATCAATGTCTTTTCCAGGTGCCCGAGGACCAGGGATGAGTAATGACATCATTGAATACACTCCTTTCATGCATTTCCAAGGAGGCAGATTGTATGGCACTAGCATAACTGGCCACATACTATAACTAGTGCTCATGTTTCCAAATGGATTAAAACCATCTGTAGCAAGCCCCAACCTCACATTTCGACAATCTATAGCAAAATCAGGATATTCTTGATCAAAGTGTTTCCACTCGGCAGAATCAGCTGGATGTCATAGGAAACCCTCTTCATTTTGTCTTCTTTTTTTTATGCCATTTCATTTCAGTCGCTGTATGTCTCGACATATACAACCTCCAAAGTCTCGGCTTCAATGGAAAATAACGCAAGACTTTTTGTGGAACTTTCTTGCGTTTGCCATCACAATACTTGTATCTCGGCTCCTTGCACACTGGACATTCATCCAGTTTCTTATTCTCTTTCCCATAAAACAGTGCACAGTCATACTTGCATGCATGTATGGATTCATACCCCAAGCCCAATTCTAGCAACATATTTTTAGCTTTATAGTTCGATGTTGGTATGGATGCACCTTTTGGATACGAGTCATTTAACAATTTCAGTAGATTTTTAAAACTTTTATTGCTCCAACGACCATCTATCTTGATCTGCATTAATTTTATAATAAAAGATAATGTAGAGAACTTTGTACAACCCGGGTACAGTTCTCGTTGAGCTTCATTAAACAAATAATCATATTTGTTAATATAAATATCGTTCTCATCATCTGTCTCCATACTTATAGCCCCTTGGACATCATTTAACATGTCCAACATCGCAGCATCATCATCATCATCATCCTCGCTGTCACTTTCAAAATCCTCATACATTTGGTCGTCTGCGACATCAACAAAATCTTCCCCATGTTCAGTCCATGTCGTGTAATGTTGTGCAAACCCATTTACAAGTATATGTCTGCGTATCTCGGATAGAGAAATACACGGCAAGGCATTTTGACATTTAACACAGGGGCAACGCGTCTTATTTTCATGATCTAGATTGTTCGCACATCCAGAAATTGTACACTTGTGAAAGTCAGTTGAAACCTACTCTAACAAACATCCAACTCTGCCATCATGATATACATAAAAACAAGGTCCCATGAGAAACATAACCAATCATAAAAAAATACATAACCAACACTTACCTATGATCTAACTACATGTGTACGCGATAATATAAATTATTTTGCTAATAAGCTTGACTAAAAAAATAAACGTTGATAATATCTGATTTACGAGGTACCCAACAACCATAGACAAAATCAAGATAAAAAAACAGGTACTACATGATGAGCTTCATTACAGAGGAAAAGAAAATCATTTCGGCTTTAACCCATTGGGTGGTGAAACTTACATCGACATACCAACATAAAAGGGGATTGCTCAAATCCTTAGGCCAATCAACAATTACAATATAAATGACTGTTCTCTGAAAAGATATAGATTCCAAACGTTACTAACATTGAAGAAAAGTTATCACCCTTTACATCAAAAAAGAAATAACTAAAACTTACACATCTCTAAGCATCTATGTGACCACCCTAAGCATACACCAGCAACAAAAACAGGATTTACAGGCATCTGCTATCACATCTCTCTCTACTATACACACTTGAAACCATCCTTTCCCGCAAAGAGTGTCCTGGTAAAAAATATTTCGAGACCACAAGTATATTTCATCCCAAAAAAACATCCTCGACCACATCCAACATAGAAAATCAGCAAAAGTAAACAGTTGGAAAATAGAAAATCCATGAACGAAACAAATAATTGCACGAGTTCTTGATCAGCACATGCAATTGCCAGAACTGTAATTGCCAGAATTACATGCACAGAATCAACAAGGGATTGGGAATTTTTACAAGTTGAATGAATAATTTAATCTCAAAAATAGGAAAATCCAAAATACCTTTGTGGGGGTGAGGCGATCAGCACATGCAATTGCCAGAATTCGGAAAGGGGTGAGACGCAACCACAATTGCACGAGGTCTTGATCGAGGTCTTGATCGGAAAGGGAAAGCGAAGGTCTCAAGGTCTTGATCGAGGTGAGATCGGAGGTTTTTGAGAGAGGAGGTTTTGAGGTGAGATCGAAGGTCTCGAGGTCTGAGATTGGAGGGGTTTTGAGGGGAAATATAAATCGCTAGGTTTTGGGTCGTGGGGAATTCGCGGGTGGGAGGATGAGAACGGAGCGGTTTTGAGGGATAAGTAAAAATCACCGCGTTTTTGGTAATTATAATTCGTTTCCCCCGTTTTTTTAATCCCTACAAATTTAGTTTCCCACCTTAATTTTGATAAAAATATCTATTTTTTAAAATTTACTTTAAGATATAATTAGCAACCGTTTCAAATAGACAGAAAAGATCAGAATTTATAATAACGGATAAAAATAAAACTCACACCTCAATTCGGGGATCACCAAAACTCAAAACAATAATACTGTCCATTAAAATTCAATTAGAGTTCACCAACTGTACAAATAATCAAACCTAAAATAAGAGATTAAGAGGGCAATTGAAATTAACTCAAGTCATTTAAAGTCTGACGATAATCAGACCTTGATCTAGCATAAAACTTGACCTCGATTAATCAAACAGAAAAGATTTATACATATTGCGGAAGAAAATTGAAAGAATCTATGGGCCAAGTAATAAAAGATTGATTCTCATTACTTACCAAAATTAAAAACTCAATAGATCGGCTGGATGTAAACGAGAACCTCTAAGTTTCAAAGTGCAGCACTGCAGCGTCGTGTTGAGATTGAGAGAGATATTAGGGTAAATCTATTTGAGAGAGATATTAGGGTAAATCTATTCATTCTTTTTTGTTCAAATTTTTTATTTTTTTTTTAGATTGGTCGCTATTTCTCCCGCTATTTTTTCGATACATGTAATTTCTCCAGCTTCCTCACCAGGACATCCCGCTTTTCTTTTAGATTGACGGTATATATGTTAGCTTTGACTCTTTCTTGTTTAAATTACATATTTCTCCATGTACACAGCATCAAAGAGAGTATATCTATTAAGAGGGTTAAATTTGATATTTTACTTTGACCATGTTTAGAGTTTAGGGTTTAGGGTTTAGGGGTTAGGGGAAAATATAAACATATGTATATCTTTCAGCTATCTTTTCAAAGAGAAAATTTGTTGTGATCAAGATTGAAAGATCTTACTACAATAGGATACCCGGTTGAGGCATTAAAACATACTCAAAGTGGAAATATCTTGCTGAGGCATAAATATCTAATTGAGGCGGATATATCTATACAAGCTTAGAATGTATGATTTAATGAGTG